ACTGTGAAAATTAAGTGTATTGCAAAGTTGTATTGAAAAAGAATAAAGCTAGTTTTATTTAAGAAAGGACTTGTATCGCTAAAGCTTCATCCGAAAGAAATTATACGGGAAATTAACAAACGACCAGAGACGTAACAATACTTAATTATACTTCACAATCCGGAATTCTTCGAACATCCATTTAGCGGACCTTAACTGTCTACTCTGCAGAAAAGCCATGTAACGTGTACTATCACAAAGCTTATGTTTAACTCCTTCCGCACGAACCATTTGGTATTTTTATTTTCTTCAATACAAATTTTGAATGTTACAATGATATTAGAATAGTTATGCCTCTGCCTCAAGAAGACATTGAAAAACACCTTTAACAAAAGTTTACATTATTCAGAATTAAAACTGTGGAGAGAAAGCGAATTCCAGACTAAGCACCAACAAAAAATATCTTCGCACTAGGTATATGAACTTGAATTTCAAGCTATTACTTTTGCAATTTAGCAAAATAGTTTATGTTTTATATCTATTACATCATTATTTTGATACCTTAAATTAAATAAGTGTTAGATTTTGGTACACAGTTGAAGGCACTGAAAAATTGAATAAAAAGGCGCATTTCTTTAGTGGCGCTGCAAGGTGAACACGCCACAAGAATTTGACCGTGTGACGTCAATTTTAGACAAGTCATAATCTCACGTTTGGGGTAGTTCACCACAGACATATTTTGAACATAAATTTGTTACATTGTTGTCTTATAACATTTAACTGTATTTAGTTTTTCAGTTATTTACCATCCCCTGGTATCACTTCATAAGATATGTCCACCATGAATCCCGAATAGTAAGTAGTAAAAATTAAGAACTATTTATTTGATGTAATTTCCTTTTATTAGTTCGTCTGTTGAGTTTTTATTAAGGCTTAGTGTAGTGTAACTGTAAAGTTAACGCCTATAACTGGTTAAGTTGTGAGGGGGCGCTTTAATACATATTTCTCATGCCAGCTTTAACGGAGACAAAAATACGCACATAAAGCGTCAAGTATTTTAAAGAGTCAAGTAATTTTTGTTTTATAGAAATTCCATATGTTCAAATATATGTAATCGATAGAGCTATAAGTTGTAACATACATTTGCAAAGGCTGAAGTTTATAAAAAAAATGTCAATGGAAACTAGTAATTTATAAATTATAGAAACAATAAGAAAAAACACAGACTTTCGTTCTTGAACGCTAAAGCTCATAATGAACTTGTTGAGGAAATTTGTTTGATGACGTGGGTTTGTGTACTTGGTTTTAAGGTTTAGGGGGGGGGGCTGAATGTTTTTATTTCTGGCACCTTTTGTTTTCGTATACCGTTAAGTCTTCTATAATTTTATGCTCAAGAAAAAACCAGCATCATTATCGTATTGGTTTATTCTCCCATTTGAACAAGATGTTCTCTATGTTTTAAGGAAACCAAAACTGTTCCTACAACTAAGTGTTTACTGAGATGTTGGTGTCCATAATTTCAAAATCATACACTGTATGATACAGTATATTTTCTAGCCAACACAAAAAGAAGTCTTCAACCCTGAAGATGTTGTGTAAGTTAATAAATTAGTTATGTGAACCTTTGTAGTGAAAACAACTTACTAGCCCTACTCCTTTTAAATCTTGAATTAGTTTTCAATTCTTTCCTATGTTTTTTTAAGTCATTGGTATTTTGCCATTGTTGCAATAAGTTTATTTTCACCAAAATCTAAATACATGTTTATAAAAAAGGTATAGCTTAAAATTTGTATCAATTTATATTATCTTATAACTTCCAGTGTGATCTAAACTTATATTTTTTATTTACATGTAATTATTGTAAAATGAACAAGTAGTTTATTTTCTACAATTCTGGTTTGCAAAAAACATTACATAAGTAAAAAGTATGCTATGGATATATAGACAAACCTTATTGAAAGATCAAGCAACCATTATGTGATTACTAGATAAGCTATAAATGCATAAATTTCAGTGAAGACTGACAGAAAAATACCGTATACGAGAATCTTTGTATTAAATTTCCTTTTTTGGTGCTTTTGACCTAAAATATCTGCTAGTGTTGGAGATTTCAGGAAAAATTAATAACACTGTTGAATAATGTAATACTTTCCCTAATAGAATAATGTGTATTTTCTGAACAGTATAAGATAATTTTACAAACACAGAAAATGCCCAATTTCTGTGCTGTGTTAAAATCTTAGGAAACTTTAAGATTGTTGATTCTTTACTAATATTTGTGCTTAATATGACTTAGCATCATTCTGTTTCAGGTTAAACTCCAAACTCTTTGATTTGGAATGTAAAAGAGACATGCATCCCTTGTTTTCACACCAAAAGTTCATTGTAAGCCAATTACCTACATGTATATTTTCACAATACTGGTCTTTGATTGGTTGGAACAATAGGCCTACCCAGTACCTATGTAAGTTATTTTTACATATTTTATGCCTAGGGATGACTTTTTTCAAAATTACAATTGCCTAAAATATAATTATATTTGTAGCAATTCATCTACTTCCTAATATTTTGGGAAAAGGAAAAATCAACCTATAGGAAAGGAGTAGATGGCCATAGGCCTAAAATTTGTAGAAATGTTTTACAGGTAAAGGGGTAAGCCTTCATTATCCCACTGAATCAGAGATCCATATCTAACAATTTCGATGACAAGGAACCCACTTTGAGACTAATAATGGCTGGAGACGGCTTGAATGGGTAATG